ATCAGAACATCCCCTGTGGAATATAATTCCTAACTTTTCATCTTGCCTACCACATAATGCATGTTGGCTCCAGCCAGTCCATGACCCTGAACTGGAAAAACTGGGTACAGTGAATGAAGGAACGCTTTGATGTAGTACATTAGATTATGAGAGACTGAGTCAAAGCTGCAAAGTTAACTTAGTCACCATAGCCTCAAAACCATGTCCACACTGACATTTTCTGGGGGAAATCTTCCTCGTACAAATGCAATGACATATTGACATTGCAAAAGCTAGAACAAAACAAACGTAATCTTGCAATATCTAGGAATACTGGTTGGCTATGGGAAACACAACGAAATCTTGTAATCTTTAGCGCCAGATAAAACAATCCAGCTTTCTCACCGCAAAAAATTATGCTCAAATTCTGGACTCTGCTTGTTTATTCAGTGATCCAACATAGATTTGGGGAAGCTTGATACACTGGAGGGCATACAGAACTTTTATACATGACATTATTATTTTTTGGCATACAGAGATTCCTTGAGCTCTGCTTACGCAGCATTTAAGTGTGTAATCTACTCTAAATTTTACTATAGGTGAGAGCCAAGGTTTGTTTTATATTTTATAAAATGTTTTATAGGATTAATGGGTTTTAATCCTCCTGTCACTAACAATTCCTTTTAACCACATTAGATTAGATTTGCCTTGTTCTGCACATACCATCATTTATTCACCAGTCACAATCATACAACAGAAACAAGATTAAAGTGGTGATATAATCCCTTGAGTTTAGCGTGAATGTTATCTTCAGTTGAATCTGTTTTGAATTGCAGTGGCAGTTTTATCAGGGAAAATCTTCCCTAACCCTGGAACTTCACAGTGAATGAGTTTCCTCATTCAGCGAGTCAAGGTACATCTGTTATAGATGAATGCTTTGCAAACAGCCGAGTAAGAGTGTGTCTGTGTGGACCACAGTGTGTGTGTTGTGTGTGTGTGTGTGTGAGAGAGAACTAAAGTGTGTACATTAAGGTCTGTATAGTGTAGCTCCAGCAGCACCCATCCAAACCGGTGACAATGATGAAAGAATAAAGGATTATTCATACAATCCCTAGTTGATTTCCATTAAAACCATCTAAATGACAAGACAAAGGTGCTTGGTGTGTTTGAGAATGCCTGTAAATGCAATAAACACACATGTTAAGCAGAAAAGATTCCCCTACACATATTTACATTGCTCTATTTTTTAACACTACGTACATATGATGATTTATTGTGCTAAAGGGGGTGTCACCTCAGCCTCAACTCAAGGCCTATTCCCTGCAGTTTTATTTTTGTTGGGTTAGTTCCTTAAACTCTTCTGTTATGAAATGTATGCCTCATTAAAATGTCACAACATATGTGGATTCATCTTTGCAGCTGAAGCAATAAGGCAGAAAGGCAGAAACAATATACACACTAGTGACCCTGACTTCACTCTAACACAAATACAAGCATACCAGCACACACACACACACACTGTCTCGTGGATCTTTGGTTTCTGTCTCTCTAGGCTGGAGATCCTGAAAACTCAAGCAGGCTGAACTCTCTGTCCTCTAGCAGCTCTGAGGTCAAAGGTCATAACTAAAGCCATGGCCCAGATGACAAGCAAACAACAGACCATCCTCTGATCAGACCAATAGTGCTACTGCACTAACACAAATGTTTGGAGGCCCCTTGCTCTATGGAGGTCAGTGTGAACAATCTACTAAACCCGTAACATGAGGTCTTTGTTTGAACTCAAAGCTTAAAGTAACAAAATTCGTCCCTCTATTATCCATATGCTCTTACTGCTCTGTGCTGCATTCAAGGAACATGAACAATCTGGATTGTACATTCAACAAAATAAGATTAGATTTAAAGCATTAGCCAAAACACATGACTCTACACCTCAACCTCAGCTACTGAGTGCACAGTGATACAATTTGGTTGCGTGCAGTTTTAAGAGTGATGACATATTTCTGACTTTGAGCCAACTCTAACTTTTAGTCTGACTTTGAAGTTCTGATATAAATACAATAAAACATTAATTCCCCCCCCCCCCCCCCC